GTTTTATCGCCCAGTTTTGAAATATCCCGATGGTGGACAATAAAGGGGGTTCGATTGTAGTATAAAATCTTAATAGCCTCACCATTGTCGCTGCTTTTCCTCGTCTCTTCTATGTCGTTTACTTATGTTCGCCGGCCCTCGCTGTCCGCTTGCTGTGCGCGGTTCATCCCACTTCCGCCTTGTCTGAGGCCACAATGGATCTCGTTCCTGCCAAGTCGCACCATTTTTGTGTCCCCCATCCGACCCGAGCAAGCCGGAACAGCTCGCGTTAGCAGCACTTATTTGGCCTTTCGTCTGCGGAGTCAGGAAACTGGCTGTATCACTACACTAATGCACATTCCAGGCGGAAGAGTTAAGTACGATGGGCAGAATAAATTGTACTGTTGAACCGTAGTTGCATAACTGAAAAGTATAGCAAGAATTAGGCGGCAATAAATCCACGTATAGTTCAGACAGCAGTCGATACGAACGCGTTGCGAATGTAGCACCGTGAAGGAAGTTAGTGAGGATGTGAAAAGTTGTGTTTGCAACAATAGTAAGCGAAATAGTTATCAATGGAAAATAAATAAACTGAAATATGTACTTCGGTACCCAAATTCAATTATCAGAAAGCGGATAGTTTGTGATAATAAAAACCAAAATAAGCGAGCTATTTATTGCTTGTCAGTCACTCACAGTCCTCATGCGCTGTCAAAGGCCCCACATTCTCAAGCTACTCGAGGCCATTGTTATAGATCGACAACGGCCACCACTGTGTCCAAAAACAGTTGACAGTGACATTAATCCTACCGTGATAGCATGCAACGCACTAATCGGAAAACAGTTGATTACATGTGACATTGTTTTGCATTCCTTGTTACTTGCTTGTATGCGGTTGAGGAGTATGAACGAAATGGCAATGTCATCCCACAGTCTTCGTCTTCTGCTATTCTTATTTGGAGTTGTCAGTGGCACAGTTCACTTCACGAACTTGTAATTCATTCATCGACTGGCCAACGATCATCGCACTCTGTGACCTTAGCCTAGATCCGTAGGCGCTTGTGGTCTGTTCAATCGCTGGTGTTCGGACGAATCGGATGTCATTTGTAAGTCACCCCCTTGCTCTTAATTCAGGTTAGACATCACAGCTACTATCCTGTCCATCCCTCCACGTGATTGTGGTCTACTCGCACGCAAGGGCTTTATCAGCTCTCTATCTGGATCCAATCGCCCAGAACAATAGTTACCCTCATACTCGTTTCACTGCCATATGCGGTTGACTCGAAGTATAGGTTTACCGTGAGGAACAATGGACTATTTCCCACTAGCTGATTCTTCTTTCATAACCGAAGCAGCGTGACAACCCCCATTGTACAACACATGACTACAACTGTAATTCACATCAACTAGTAGTAGTAGTAGTAGTAGTAGTAGTAGTAGTAGTAGTAGTAGTAGTAGTAGTAGTAGTAGTAGTAGTAGTAGTAGTAGTAGTAGTAGTAGTAGTAGTAGTAGTAGTAGTAGTAGTAGTAGTAGTAGTAGTAGTAGTAGTAGTAGTAGTAGTAGTAGTAGTAGTAGTAGTAGTAGTAGTAGTAGTAGTAGTAGTAGTAGTAGTAGTAGTAGTAGTAGTAGTAGTAGTAGTAGTAGTAGTAGTAGTAGTAGTAGTAGTAGTAGTAGTAGTAGTAGTAGTAGTAGTAGTAGTAGTAGTAGTAGTAGTAGTAGTAGTAGTAGTAGTAGTAGTAGTAGTAGTAGTAGTAGTAGTAGTAGTAGTAGTAGTAGTAGTAGTAGTAGTAGTAGTAGTAGTAGTAGTAGTAGTAGTAGTAGTAGTAGTAGTAGTAGTAGTAGTAGTAGTAGTAGTAGTAGTAGTAGTAGTAGTAGTAGTAGTAGTAGTAGTAGTAGTAGTAGTAGTAGTAGTAGTAGTAGTAGTAGTAGTAGTAGTAGTAGTAGTAGTAGTAGTAGTAGTAGTAGTAGTAGTAGTAGTAGTAGTAGTAGTAGTAGTAGTAGTAGTAGTAGTAGTAGTAGTAGTAGTAGTAGTAGTAGTAGTAGTAGTAGTAGTAGTAGTAGTAGTAGTAGTAGTAGTAGTAGTAGTAGTAGTAGTAGTAGTAGTAGTAGTAGTAGTAGTAGTAGTAGTAGTAGTAGTAGTAGTAGTAGTAGTAGTAGTAGTAGTAGTAGTAGTAGTAGTAGTAGTAGTAGTAGTAGTAGTAGTAGTAGTAGTAGTAGTAGTAGTAGTAGTAGTAGTAGTAGTAGTAGTAGTAGTAGTAGTAGTAGTAGTAGTAGTAGTAGTAGTAGTAGTAGTAGTAGTAGTAGTAGTAGTAGTAGTAGTAGTAGTAGTAGTAGTAGTAGTAGTAGTAGTAGTAGTAGTAGTAGTAGTAGTAGTAGTAGTAGTAGTAGTAGTAGTAGTAGTAGTAGTAGTAGTAGTAGTAGTAGTAGTAGTAGTAGTAGTAGTAGTAGTAGTAGTAGTAGTAGTAGTAGTAGTAGTAGTAGTAGTAGTAGTAGTAGTAGTAGTAGTAGTAGTAGTAGTAGTAGTAGTAGTAGTAGTAGTAGTAGTAGTAGTAGTAGTAGTAGTAGTAGTAGTAGTAGTAGTAGTAGTAGTAGTAGTAGTAGTAGTAGTAGTAGTAGTAGTAGTAGTAGTAGTAGTAGTAGTAGTAGTAGTAGTAGTAGTAGTAGTAGTAGTAGTAGTAGTAGTAGTAGTAGTAGTAGTAGTAGTAGTAGTAGTAGTAGTAGTAGTAGTAGTAGTAGTAGTAGTAGTAGTAGTAGTAGTAGTAGTAGTAGTAGTAGTAGTAGTAGTAGTAGTAGTAGTAGTAGTAGTAGTAGTAGTAGTAGTAGTAGTAGTAGTAGTAGTAGTAGTAGTAGTAGTAGTAGTAGTAGTAGTAGTAGTAGTAGTAGTAGTAGTAGTAGTAGTAGTAGTAGTAGTAGTAGTAGTAGTAGTAGTAGTAGTAGTAGTAGTAGTAGTAGTAGTAGTAGTAGTAGTAGTAGTAGTAGTAGTAGTAGTAGTAGTAGTAGTAGTAGTAGTAGTAGTAGTAGTAGTAGTAGTAGTAGTAGTAGTAGTAGTAGTAGTAGTAGTAGTAGTAGTAGTAGTAGTAGTAGTAGTAGTAGTAGTAGTAGTAGTAGTAGTAGTAGTAGTAGTAGTAGTAGTAGTAGTAGTAGTAGTAGTAGTAGTAGTAGTAGTAGTAGTAGTAGTAGTAGTAGTAGTAGTAGTAGTAGTAGTAGTAGTAGTAGTAGTAGTAGTAGTAGTAGTAGTAGTAGTAGTAGTAGTAGTAGTAGTAGTAGTAGTAGTAGTAGTAGTAGTAGTAGTAGTAGTAGTAGTAGTAGTAGTAGTAGTAGTAGTAGTAGTAGTAGTAGTAGTAGTAGTAGTAGTAGTAGTAGTAGTAGTAGTAGTAGTAGTAGTAGTAGTAGTAGTAGTAGTAGTAGTAGTAGTAGTAGTAGTAGTAGTAGTAGTAGTAGTAGTAGTAGTAGTAGTAGTAGTAGTAGTAGTAGTAGTAGTAGTAGTAGTAGTAGTAGTAGTAGTAGTAGTAGTAGTAGTAGTAGTAGTAGTAGTAGTAGTAGTAGTAGTAGTAGTAGTAGTAGTAGTAGTAGTGATTCCATCAGCGATACTTGCGAAGAGTATTTCTCACATTCAATGAGTGTCAAGCATAGAATGCCGAGGTCTGCCAATCAACACTTACTAGCATGCCCTCGATTGCGGCATTCGATTGTCCGTTGGCCTCCAACCTAGTTCACCTGTTTGATCATACCTATTGAATACCTCGCAATTAGTTACGACGGATTGTAACGTCTACCAATACCACAACTAAACTGGGTGAAGTTCCAAGGTGTTCCAATGTGATAAATAACATTAAGCAACCAAGCACCGAGACGGGCTGAAGAGCCTTGGGTTCGATAACAATTGTGGTCCCAGGTGCTATATGGCTCCGCTTCAAATTTGATGATCTCTTACGTTCGTCGATGTCACTAGTCTAGTTTATATTTTCGCACTAGCCGTTTCGTTCTCCGTATACTTTTTGGTTACTGCCTTGACCTTGAGAGTCAAGACAAATATGTCGAGCACACTTTATTACACGGCTCCTAATTGGCCAGTTCAGACCAACTGAAAAGCTGGTCATTGCTCTGGGGCCAGCCTTGTCCTCTGCACGATCATTACATGCATGACAGTGGAGAATGAGCAGCGCTATATCGCAGTTAGATATCAGCCATGGCTGTTCGCCGCCGTCCTGCATGGCCCAGTGGCATTAATCGCTGACTCGGAAACATCATGTCATGGGTTTGAATCGAACAAATTAGTCGGATGCGCGCAACTGACCAGTCCCATTAAAACGAAACAGCCGTCTAACGCTTTCCTGGATGCGTGATGGCTGTCTGTCTGGCTGCGACGAATCTTCTCAAAAATCCAACAAATCCCCCTATTTCTCACCTACAATACCACTTGTTTGATCATGATAAGCTGATATCTAGTTTTGTGAATGATCGTGTCATAACCTTTCCACTTATACTTCCTCACCTTACTCGGCTATTGCAGCTGACAAATCGAAAGTTCACAAGCAGCCACATGGAGAAAACAACTCTAATTTTCTCCCATCTATTCTCGTCCTAGTCCAGCTGATGCTCCGTATAACATCCCTGTTGCCTACTAAGAACCTTCCTCTCACTTTCTTTTTGTCTTTACTGCAATTGTTCATTCACGGTTGTGTTTCTTATCTACTTTTGGTTGATCAATCCAGTCGCTTTTTACCTCTTTATGATTCCACTGTCATTATGGTATTCGATATGTACTGTACTGCGAAACAACTGAGAACACCTGTGAATTGGTGAAATATGACGATGAAACATGAAAGAAACGCTTTTATTTATCAAAACTATCCTACTCCATCCCTTCATAAACCCCAACCATCTAGAGTTCTGCATGTCTTAGCGTGTTATTCATATAGGTATGACCCGTCCATTTGCGTGTTCTATTCCATATATACGGCTTAACCGTCCCAATATTCTGGTTTCAGAATATCCTAAGCGATTTCATTCAAATCGAAATGCTCTGGCACGCAAAGGCCTTGGAAACACTTAGTGAGTCGTTCAACACATTGCAGTCACTGCACGAGGAGGCGGATCTGATAAACTTCCGTTCAACCCTGATGCGATCTGGGTCCAATATGACGAACATGCCCTCAGAGCTACAGCTGCATCGACATAGCCTCAGCGCATCCGGAACACTGTACCAAAAACCGTCTGACTTATCAGCTCACTCACCACGATCCATAAGACCTCCTGGCTCCTTGGTTGTCGGTGATAATCCTCACACACGACGGATGCCAAGTGGATTGCCACACACATCAAGACAGGTAATAGCTATGTTTTAGCTGTTTAGCTATTACACTGACCGTTTTTACGTGGATTCACTACAAAGTAAATCGCACCCAGATTGATATTGTTTTTCGCAACTCAATCAATCGACGCATACTTTAAGGTGAACCCGCAATACACCTGCCAATCGATTGGACGGACGAAATTCCTCTCACGCCGTCTGGCAAGAGATAACGCGCGAGAAGTAGTGATATAATCCTTTATCAAGTGAATAATCTACACGGTTTCATTTGGAGAGCGCAGCGAGGTAGTCGTATATGCCATCTTTCATCCGCCTACTAGCACAACGCTGTGATTATATTACGAGGAAAACAATTGAAGAGGCACTCAATTTATTCAACCAACAAACTTAGTTCTATTCACACGTTAGACTGGTTAGTTCACTTTTAGTCCGCAAGCTTTCCCACCATGCTGCATGTGGACGGCAGGTTCTCCCTGTGGGACCTGGCAGTATTGGTCATTGCAGTTAGTTAGTAGCACCCTTTCGAATATTCATCTTCCGGTCCATGACAAAAGACTGAATGCAAAGGAGACTACAGCGATTTCTGGCGTTCCTTAGTCCTCACACTCTTGGACACCATGATCAATCTCGCCGGTTAAAGCTCAGGCCCTTGCTTCCATCTCTCAACATATATTACTGGCATTTCGGCAACCTCAGACCATGGTGTGTAGCAATCAGTTCTTACATTCTCTTCAATCACATACCTACAACCAGCATCTGATCAAACAGATAAATTATATGGGGTCCACTGGTGACTGTTCGAGAATGTATGTTAACTAAGTGTCAGCGGTATAATAATAGTCATAGTAATATGCTATATTAGCTTTCCGAACTTTTCTTGGATTTGATTATTTAAAAGGGAAACAGGGCTCCGGAGATTTTGCTCCCCGTTTCGTGCTACCTATGTACCATGGGTTGTTTGAGAACGGAACGTGAGTAAATAATAGTTATCTACAAGGAGTCACCGAATTGTGTACAGTATCCTACTGTTAAAGTTTGATGCAATCGATTGGAATGTTTCTGGGCTGCTGTTTGACCCATTTTAGAAGGCGCGTAGCAGCCAAACACAGTAACATCCGGACGAGCGTAGGAAAGCTATTTTGTCTTGTTAGGACTCTTCAGTGGAGCACATCTACGGGATGCTATCCCATCAGAAAGCATTACTTTCCTCTTGCCAGTTAGCGATTTAAGATACAGCCATGGGTGACTGCAACTGCCCACTATGCCTGATTTCCAACTACGGTATAGCGCGGCTTATTCTTGACTGCCATGCAGCTTATGAACATGCACAGTTCATGGCTGGTCCCCAGGACCAGGACTTCCATTGCAAGCTGATACTAGTCGATGTGGCATGTAAATCACTCGCTGGATTACTGACCGTTAATGTTGCTGATTGTTTTTACTGCTTAGCCTACCTGATAGCATTTCTCCATGCCACTACACTATCCTTACTGTATACAGACCTGTTAGTGTGCATCCTCACTAACCACACCATGATACATAGGACAGATTGCCGGTACAGTCTCTGCCTTTCGGACGGTGTACATAAACGGTCTTTGGTACTTTGTGCACTAGTCAGCTGCTTAACAACATATACTTCTTAACTCTATTTGCAAATCTAATTTGGTCTCACCCCTTGCTACTGATTATAGCGCGCGGAGGATGTCACAAGCTTGTTCAGTGAAGACGAGGAGGTGTCTGATGATGGAGTTCACAGTAGAGGTGCGGGTCGCAGTCAGAACAGCGGCGATCACCTCGAGGACTTAGATGATGAAGACAGTGAAGATGATGATTCGGAAGAGGACGACGAAGGGGACAGCGAATACACCCACACAGGTCCAACAACAACCGCTTCCATTAGAAAAAATATCCAAGGCGCAACAAGTATCACCTCCCAGTCGCCTTTGAAATCGGCTCTAAAATCTAGTGGATCGAAGCAGGCGGCGTGAGTCTACCAATAAAACGGATCTGTGCGTCTGATTGGAGACGACCAATTGTGATATTTTCTGCGGAATGGCTATAGGATATTCTCTCATGCGAGCTCACGCTTTTCTCCGCCCCACCCTATTTGTCCTACTCAGCTAATCATTCAATGTGATGTACCACTACTGTGTGACTTATTCCATGCAATTGGGTGGAACTTTGTTTCCGGTGACACTTAGATTTGTGGCACACATTTTTCGCCCGTTTTCTGAGCAACCCAACTTCTACCGCTACCAAAAACCATCGTAGATATTACTCCGCCTCACCGGCAATACAACGTCTGTATCCTCTCCGTTCCCAACCCACAGAGTATTTTCGACATTGCCTGTAAATAAATAGTTTTATTTACTGAGTACATTGCACTTTTGCATCCATTCTGTTGCCGAAATTACAAGGCATAAAGTAATTCGTGGCTCTATACTTTATGCTCCGGTCTTTCACATGCGAAGCTACCTTATGATTCTCAGCTTAGAATACGATGCTATTTTCAATTCATTTTGGCTCTCCTTTTTCGAATAATGGTAGTCTCCAACTCTCTAGTTGGTGCTTTCTGTGTTTTGTTGCCAAAACCCAACTACTGCCACCGTAGTCTTCAGAGCTGTTTGCCGGCTCTCGGTGCGTGGTTCCCTGCCACCCAGCACGTTAATTTTCATCATTGTAGCCGCCATGCAGTAGCTAGCGAAGGGTTTGTGTTGTTTTTATAGTCTCTACTATACAGGTGGTCTGTAGGTTTTATCTAGTCGTCACACAAGTAATACCGGAAATCAGGTTGCAACTGACGCGACGCCATTACTTTATTGCCAAGTTGAACTGTGAAGGCGCGAGACTTACCCACTTAAGGTGACGTCAACGAACGACACATGAGTTCATCTGCCTATGCCCAAAGTCTCAATACTGATCCATGTACCCATAGTTACAGTCTCAGTGGACAAAGTCAGACACTATCAACAAAAGCAGTACAGCAATCACTTGAACTGATGCTTCGCTGCCATACAACCATGATGACCTATGGAATAAAGAATAATAAGAGGGAGAGAAGGGGGACTTACCTGAAAACCATAATACCCGAATCAAACATTTAGGGTCAAGGCGCCTACACCTTGTGTAGGCGACCTACCGTCACAAACAGCTGCCTATCATGCAAAGATAAGGCGGCATCGGCGAGACAGCTTCCGTGCGGCTTTCACTGCCCGGCGTCACAATCAGCCATTACCCCGCAGACAACTCAGCACCAAACACACTTTAAACATGTAATCCTACTAGGAGACGGCAGGAGACGCGACACTGGTGTCGGTTGCAAGCCATGGCCTGTAAAGTCTCGAGCCAAGCACAAGACGAGTCACGTGGACTCCAGCCCGGAAGACGAGACGGACCAACGGTACCCAGTTTGGTCGTCAGTGACTTCATTTCCCGCTGCCAAGTCAACTTCTGTCCACCTCGAGCTTTGCGCCATCCTACATCTGGCAGACTAAACAAGGCCCTCCTAGGTAAGCGGTGACCAGGCATACGTAGCACGTGCCTGAACTAATGCAACTTATTCAGTGCTATCTGTTGTTCTAGGGAGCTAGCATCCTTATCACCACCTAGTACTCGCCTACGCACATCATCGTTGCGGACACGCTGGTGCCGTCCGACTCCAGCAATGCTTCGCAGACAACGATGATCAAAGACTTGGAGGCGCCTCAGATCTACAGACCGAAGGGGCCCAGTTTCACTGCTATAGAGCAGGACGGACCTCACTGTGGTCTTGTATACACGGTCTTTCCGACGGAGAGAAACTCTCTTCTGTCGCCAAAGATGCCGCAGATTCAAAAAGACAGCTCTGGCCTTTGCAATGAGTTGAACTGACTTTAGTTTCTGTGCGCCCATCGTTGCTGATACAGCTGCCAAGGTAAGTGAATCGATCAGCCACCTCGAGTTCCTCGTTTTCAAGCGTCAAGGGGTCATAAAGTGGCTGGTGATCCTGCAGCAACACTTTACACTTTGAAGGTGCGAAGTGCATACCAAATAATGGGACCACTCTGGACAGGCTATTCAGGGTTGATTGTGTCGCCGCAACATTGTCGAAAAGCAAGATGATATCGTTCGCATAATCAAGATCAAATAGCGTTTCACCAAGCAGGACCTCAACCTCTACATCGTGGGATTCCGCAAGGGAACACTCCATGATAGAGTCCACAACAAGATCGAACAAAAATGAGCAAATCGGGCAACCCTGAGGAACGCAACTTGTGGTCGGAAAGCTATCCGACAGATCACCGTAGACCCTGACGCGGCCGGTAGTGTTTGAGTATGGAGCACGTAGGATGTTCACATATTTCGTGGGAATACCTTTCCGCGCAAGTATTTCGAATTTTCGTCTCACATATTACCGTTTACCCTTGGCAGTCACATGGTGGGTACTTCAATCAGTCAACTTTTAACCGCTGTGTCAAGCTTTGCTCGCGGAACTCAATGACCTACTGATCATGACGATAGCTACCAACCACTATGTGCCGAGTTCTACTTCAAGATCGGGCAACCTCTCCCTGACGAGTCCAACCAAGGGGAGTTCAGTGATGGGAGAGAGCGATACCGAAAATCTCCACTTCATTTCCGTTTCAAAGAACGGGACACATAAGATGAAGTAGCTGACAGCTGCTTGCAGCTGCGCCTTATGCACTGAGGTATACACTGCGTTGGACTTTGCTTAACGCTACCTTAGGCGTGGAGTCTATCGTCATGCCTACAGCCTGTTTTCTGAATGTACTTTCTTGTGATAAGCCCTTATCGGGTATTCCATGTGATGAACATCTGTAGCTGAACGACCACAAGCAACGTTTTCGTCCATAATGCCCCCAACGCTCCATCTCTCGAAAATTGTAAAAAGGTTCCTGGGTTCAACTGTTCGCCGAGCTTCGCAGTTGATATGCAAACGTTTCATCACCACGCGAGGTAAGTTCCTCAGTGCGCTGCAGGGTCAAACGTAATCCGCTGATTTGGTCGCCGATTTGTGATTGATTAGCAAGTGACTTTTGACGAAATGTTGTGTACAAGATACAGTGTCAAGATTACGATAACAACTATGCGGGTCAGATAGGAAGACAACTGTCTACAAGAATACAAGAGCATAAAAGAGCTTGTAAGAACCATTACGCTCTCTCACTAGTTTCAAGACATACAGACCAAGGACATCACTTCGATTGGAACAACGCAGACATCCTAGCATAAGGAGAGACACCAAAAGGAAGAGAGTTCCTCGAGGCATGGTAACCGACGAAGCACTCGATAAACATGCACGTCGAGATTGACCCCGTTTACGAAACGCTAAGACGGAGAGAAGTAAAACAACTTAAAAACCGTCGAGAGCAGCTAACCAAGTCGTTAATAATACAGCCGCAACAGCCGGGACAAACCCATCCTACGGAACGCCCATATCTACCAGAGAAGCTGTGTAGACGGATGGTCACGGGGCACAGATTGAGAAGGTCAATTCAATAGTCACTTGCTAATCAATCACAAATCGACGACCAAGTCAGCGGATTACGTTTGACCCTGCAGCGCAGTGAAAAATTCACCTCGCGTGGTGATGAAACTTTTGCATACCAATTGCGAAGCTCGGCGAATAGTTGAACCCAGGAACGATCAACCCGGACTACCTGTACATCAACTCATTGTGAGAAGGTGGTGATGCATCCATAAGATCCTCTTCATGGACGGTGCTACTTGGGAACACGCATGGAGTCAGTCTGGGTCACGAACTCAACAAGGATACTACACAAAGCATTTGAAACTTGTAATTCTGTCGAAACGGAGGTACTTGGGGTGTCAGTTGACTTGACAGTTTTTGAAAATGAATCAACCACTGGACCTCGCTTCAATTTGGAAAATGTCTTCAGCCGTCATGCGGACGATATGTGAACCCAAATCTAACTACTTCGCGGTATCGAAATGGATGAACTTACATTGCTGACTACTTAAACTCCTACTAACGTACCAAAACCGTGACGCATGTGTTTGGTTAAGGGACTACGTATTAAGATATCGGCCTTGACTGGAATGCAGTCTAGAATGCACGGGAAGAAAACGAAGGTTGTTAGATGCATGCATTTCGTATCGTCTCCTCAGTACCATAAACATTAACTAAAGTGCACAGATATAGCTAACATTGGGTGTAACCAGACACGCTTGAAGTGCAGTGTGACTGACGGAAGTTTACCCTTACGTCCATGGCAGCCTTAAGCCGACAAATAATTGTTTTTGTACGCACAGGGTTGGTTTCATCGGGTTTATTATGACAGCTTTGGCAAACCGAAGGAAGCGGAGTTTAGGGTGTTGCAAAACGACTCGGAACGCTGAGTTGATCTCTTCGGTGACCCAGTTAGTGTATCTTTTTCGAGGAATCCGCCGGTTTACGCGATTATGGGTGCGAAGCAAGACATGCAAGTGTGTAGCGATGCAAAATTTGATCTGGCCTATTTATAAAATCGCTCCGAACACCTAGACTTGGATAACCTTTGCGGCCCAAAGTAACCACTATACTCAAATTACTCGCGGAGCTAATGTGGCATACCAGCAGCAGTTAGCAATGCGTATGTTCTCAAATCGCACGATGTTGTCTAAACATGTATACAGCCTAGGCAAGGTGAAGTGTGAAATTCCTTTTTGTAAGCGGATGAACTGACACGGACCACGAAGGATGGGGCGCCTACGCCTGTAATACGCTCCAAGATTTCGGTGCGTTCAATGGCCACTCAATCCTAGGGCAATGGTTGTCTCGTTCCCAAAACTCACTCATGTATCCTTTACCATAGAACCTGGATTGAGAAACCTGTTGAGTATATGTAAGCGTATCTCTTCTGGAGTCGATAGCATTCACCCGAAGACACTTGTGACGGTAGGAGAGGTTGGTTGAGCCTTTGATTTGGTTGTTCTGACGCTGTCTTAATGAAATGTAGGTGCCTGACATGTGCAAACGCGGAATGATAAATTCG